GAAGTGAGAAGTCAACTGCCAGTTAATAGACTTTTTTGCACCAGGGTGCACCACGAGGAGGTAAGTCCATCACACACCCCCATCTGGCCAATATAAAGTTGTGTTGACCTGTAACGATTTCCATATCTGATTTTATCACCTTTTGGTTGTAATCTGTGGAACTATTAAAATTAGACTGTTTTTCTTGGTGCTGAAAACAAAGTCGATAGCGTTGTAGATGAGGCTTCTCCTTAGAATGCTGACCAGCATCTGAGATCATCCTCCCTCCATTACAAGATGATAATTTAAACTGGGTTGTGTTTAAGAATATTGATGAAAATTGCATATTGTTCTTTTTCAAATGATGATAAGTGGAAAATGCAATTAGAGTAAGCTACCAGAGCGAAATAAGTTACATAGAGTATGATTTTTCTATTTTCCCGATAAAAAAATAAAGTGAAAAAGAATCGTTATAAAATATTATTGTAGGTTCACCTTTACCATTACCTTATTAAAGTATCGAATCCTATGATAAAAGTTCGGACTTTTATCAAAATGTAATACTAGAAGTAACATAAGCTCTTAATATTTTGTTAAAATGGGGTGTGCAATAGACTTACCTCCACGTGGTGCACCCTGGACAACGTATTCTCATACGGCAAAAAGTCTATTAACCGGCAGTTGACCTCTGACCCCACTGCATGTCATATTCGACCACTTCCACAGTACTACATCACAAATTTTCTAAAGTTTCAACCTTCGTCTTTGAAACACTCTTCTATTCCCCTCCTCTCGACTTTTTTCAATTTGATGTTCCTTCCCCTCTGTGAAGCCTGAAGTCAACTAAAGGGCTAATGATAACCATCAAAACGCCTTCCATTTGATATAAATAAATAAATATTTTGTTAAACTAATAACTGAAAAGGTCAGACTGATATCAACTAACTTTCGAGTGCACAACACTGTCAAGGTGGACAGAGGAAACTCATGCACACTTGAAAAGACTCGAATGTGTGGCCGTGCTTCGAATTGTGATTCCATCGTATTTTCTAAAAAATAAAATTTCTTTAAATGTGTTATTTGAGTAAAAATATTCCTACATATAGAACTCAAATACATTTGATATTTAAAGTAGATCAAATGGCAAGATTAATGATAGCTACCACAAGACCTTTAGTTGACATCAATATAATAGTTACCAGGCGAATTCTATAAAATTTTCAGACAACTTTGTTCACTTGCACTTATGACAACAGTCGATTCAGGTGTCTTTGAAAATATTAGAACTTTCTAGAATGCTTCATTGGTAATTTCTACATGATGCGATACAAGGGAGAATTTTTTATTAAATTAGTTTAAGCAATCTCATCTATCCTCATTTCCCCAAATCCTGTCGAGAAATGTAGAGAGAGGATTCCTTTACCGTCTTCATTATAGTTTTTCATTTGGATAATGTACGAAGTAGTCTGCAAATTTTCTTCACAATATCCTTTGAAAGTGAACATTATTATTGACGAAACTTTAAATGTCTGTCATTGGCTAGAAGGCTACTTTAAAAGGCACTAAACGACCGCATAAGGGAAGAAATGCTCTTTGTTTATGAATAACGAGATATTTAAATCTGATGGAAATGGTAAGTATAAAATTGGTTTCGCCAAAATTTCGCAGTTCTTAATTTCACCGGGGTGATTATTTTGCTAAAATATCATAACCGGTGGAAAAGTAAATTAGATTTTTTAATACAGAACATTTGGTTAACTTAAATTAATGGTTTAAGCCATGATTTATAAATAATGATGAGGATTTTTTAAGACATAAAGTTTGAGAGTATGAAGATAGCAATAAAAGCAACGATTTCAGGCATAATTCGCAGATCGATATTGAATGCTACATTTGCCTAAGTTTGGATAAATGACAAAATGAAAAAAAAGTAAAAAATTGTTAATATTTGTTTGTCTGTACTAACGTTCTGGCAAACGAATAGCTACAACAAAGTGGGTTTTTTTGGAAAATTAAATAATAGTGGGCCACGGATTCGAATCACTTACATCTCGTTTCTTTCCAAAGAAAATAAAAGGCTGCTTTTTCATGCGATCTTTTGGAATAATCGCACTGGATGTGATACAAACAATAAGGAAAAATTATCTTATACACGGAAACGAGTATCCAATTTTGGTTTATACGCCCTATTGCATTTGTTGAATCAGTGCTTTATTAATGCGCTTTTTTAAAGAGATGAATTTGATTACTTCAGTGAACTGGTCTGCCATCATGTTGATGAATAAGTGTAATTTTCTGACATAAGTGAATTATAATATTGTCTAAAAGTGGGGTGAGCGATAGGCTTACCTCCACGTGGTCCACCGTGGGCAACGTATGCGAATACGGCGAAAAAATTCTATAAACCGACAGTTGACTACTGACTTCAGCTACCATGACCTCACTGTATTTCATATTCGATCACTTCCACAGTACTCTTCTCACCTTACCTCTTTCCCCACCTTTGTCTGTCACTTTTATATCTGCAAATCACTCTTCCTTTCCTCCTCTCCACTATTTATGACTTCGATATTCCTGCCTTCTCTGAGGCCCGTAGTTAATTAAAGGGTCAATGATAACTATCATAAACCCTGACATTTGATATAAATAAATATTGTACAAAAGCAATGGAGGAAAGTTGATTATTTAGTTAAAAGCCAAATTGTATGCCCTTATAAAACAGCATAGGTGATACTAATATTTTAAATAACTTTCCTACAATACTATTAATTAATACCTCTATGAGCACATCTCATATCTTTATTATCTGCCTACTTTAAAAACCAAACTTCAAAATAATTTAGATGGTGGTTGTGGATGTATTGCAGTCGGCCCATGAGAACCTCACATATATTAACTCCAAGCATTGTGGGACACGTCATCGCATGTCTGCTCGCCAGGATAGGGAGGTGCGTAGTACAGCTCTGCGCAGCAACCGTACAAACAGTGGCCAATCAGAAGCCTCCGTTTGTTTAACCTAATCTGTGATGCTGATTATGATTAAGCCCCATGCGTGTCACCTTACCCACGTTATCCTTACTGAGTAATTGTGTTCCGTGATATAGGAGAACCTGCCACAGAGATTTCTGTATAAGTTAGGCTTTACAAGTGAGGCAATCTGCTAAAGCATCATTAACCAAATCATTGGTAGTGAATCGATAAAAACGTGTATTTTTATCGATAATTTGATAGACGGCTACTATCAATTATTTAAAATGTAGTTTCTTTTCTCACGACCTCAAGTTAAATATTCCCGGATGTCACAATAATAGCAAAACGCAGTATCTACTATATTGCTGGCTGAAAATTTTAAATATGGAAGTAGAGATTGAGCATTCTATTAGTAGCCCATAAATAAGAAGAAATCTGTTTTAAAAGTGTGCCTGACAAGAGGAATTTTGAGGTAAACTTACAAGTTTCTAAATTATTGTGATTAAATAAATTGAGCTGTCCTCTCTTACCACGCTTATCGTCACTGTTAAAATCGTATCTATGTTGACGCTGTTATAATGAATTGGCTGTGGAAAAAGAAAGCTACTTTAAATTGTTGTCATTCACATGATTACCTGTTCAATTGGACACTCTTCCAAATATTGCCTTGTTTCAATTTTCAACACGAATTTCTTCCCTCATTCAAGCTATCTATTCTGACGGATTGATAAATATTTCCATTATACCAGCACATAGTTTTCTAATCAACAACTTAACAATATATATATATATATATATATATATATATATATATATATGCACCCTCATTCCCTCTGTGGTGCTTTGCCACCTCCCATAGTCTTGTCTACCGAACCCTAATCCTGTTATTGAAGTGAAAATTGATGGTAGCTAAATTTTTCCAAATGAAAATTAACTAGGTTGAAAATTGCCGTTACCTATCCACTAGCTCAAATCTTCTCGAAAGTAATAAAAGCAATCTCCTGAGAAAACAATTCCCTTATTTGGCCCATAATTAGCATAAAAGAATGAGAGGTGTGTGTGTGGTGTGGTGTGGTATTTAGTCCATTGGGTAAAGAATTCGTAATGCGTCATTCTTCATTCTCTCCGCTTGACTCGCTCCCACCAAATCTTCAATCTCCATATCAAATTTATCAAATTCCTTACAGTATTTTTCATAAGGCATACCGGAGAAATTGAATTTCAATGTTTCACTGTTATCAGAGTCAAAATCTTCCACCAATTTCGGAATGATCTCACACCAGAAAGTTGACCACATTACAAGTGTCATGAGCATTAGGTTCGAGTATGTTGTAAGGCTGCCCTTAAAATGCTCATATTTCAGCCCCTCAGAAACAGCTTTCACCACGGGATTAAAATTGAAAATGCATTTCAACGTTTTCAGTGTTGTTTTCATCAGGAAAGAATGAACCAACTTGCATATTCGGTTTGATGAAGTCGACTGGATCGAATGTGTGAAATCGGCCAGGGAACTCATAAGAGAATCTTCTGAAAATAAAATACTATCTTAAGGAAACCTCGAAACATAGTTCAATAAGAATGTCCCAAAATCAGATTTAAAATTGGAAACTTGTTTATTAATTCATGGTATGCATTAAAATAGCTGTCGAAGCCTGCAGCAAATAGCTATTTCAGTGAGAGCTCGGGCTTTAGCAACTAAAGTTGAACCGTGAGGTGTGAGGGCAAATATCGATTTGATAAAACCGATAATTAAAACAATTCGCCCTATGTTTCAATCAAGCAAAGAGGAACTCTGATTTGACTTTGCTTCTGTGAAATGCGTGGGCGTTAACTTTCATGAAATAAAAGAATTGGAGTGTGAAATAGAATTATCTCAGTTCAGAAGCTTTGGGCAAAAATAGACATGATTAAGGGGAGTTGCATCATTAACTACTATCCCATTCAAAGATACTATGAATGAAAACATATAAATTCTTATTGAAAAATAACCTATTAGAAATAAAAACGAATTTTAAAAATTACTCTAAAAATAAACTCATTACTGCATTGCTAGAAATATCGCGGGTGCAAAAGTTAAAACAAGAATGTCTGTGTTATTAAACTTTATCAGACACAATTTACTGGATAATTTTAAAAAATAAATCTTTTTGTTTATACTGAGTAAGATACAAAGTTGGTTTACCTTCTAAGTGGTCTAAATGTAGAGCTCTTAGCAATTTCTTATGGAACTCTTCGTCCCTATTAATAATTAGAAAAGTAATTAATTAGAGGTTTTTAAAAAGACACAATCCATCTCAATATCTTCAAAACACTTACTTCATCATTAATAGTTTTTAAGTGAACAAAGCTAACTCAAACCCGATAAATATACATTACAAATATTGAGAAAATCAAATTGAAATTACCCTAATAGCCAACACACTTTTTACATTTGAATGAAAAATAATCACCATTTAATAATTTTAACACTTTCTGATAGTTTAGCTCACCTATTCATCGAAATATTTCTTAATTAAAGATAAAGAGAACAACATTTTACAATTTTGACAAAAAACTGGAGGTTTGCTGTAACACTTCAGCACTTGTCTGTTGTATATCAGGTTATTTCCACCCAAAATACATTCATTTTGACTTAATTTGACTCACTTCGAACTTGTTTTTTGGTTTTGTCTTGTCAGTATATTTGAATTTTTCCCATTTATCGTTAAACTAACCTTAAAGTGAGTTGAATGTGAGCGTTTTATTTTGAATGGAACTCAGTTTGCTATCTCCTCTAATGAATAACTCTAATTCGGTATCATTTCCCCTTATTAATTTAATTGTATGGATGATTTTTTATATTCCAAATCTCCGCATTTTCATTATAAATAATTTGACTGCAAATTTTGAGCGTAAAAAGCTGTATAACTTCTTGTAGAGTGCAATACGCTACTAAGGTTGATCTGGGGAATCTCATTCGCTACTGAACATTCTATAAAGTTGCCGTTCGCGCAGAAATCTCTCAGCCAATTAACATTCGATTTGTAGCGGATTTCTACACTAATGAAACCTGACTGACTCAGAAATCTCAGTGGAAGATTCTCCTATATTTAGCTAGACTCCCAGACCTAGCTAAGCTATAGCCCAGCTATAGAGAAAACAGAAGTATAATACGGAACACGTTTATTCAGTGTACACTCAGGGAGATTATTCATAATCAACATGGCGGATTAGGTTAAAAAACGGAGGCTTCTGATTGGCCACTGTTTGTACGGTTGCTGTACAGAGTTGTCCGGCCGCACCTCCCAATCCTGGCGTGCTTGCATGCGATGACGTGTCCTACCGATTTCAAGCAATATAAAATAACACCCTCTTTATTTATTTATACCAAATGGCAGGCGTTTCGACGGTTGTCGTTAGCCCTTTAGTTGACTTCAGGCTTCACAGGGGGGAAGGAACATCAAGGTGAGAAAAAGTCGAGAAGGGGAGCAGAAGAGAGATCGAAAGATGTAAGAAAGACAGACACAAAGGTAGAAAAAAGGTGAGGTGAGTACTATGGACAGACACAAAGGTAGAGAAAAAGGTAAGGTGAGTACAGCACAGACACAAAGGTAGAAAAAAGGTGAGGTGAGTACTATGAAAGTAGTCGAATATGACATACAGTGGGTTGATGGTAGTTTGAAGTGAGAAGTCAATTGACGGTTTATAGACTTTTTTGCCTCTTCATATGATGCCTAAACGTGTGGGGAAATTTAGTAACATAAGCCTTGATAAACGTTATTCACTCAATATGCTCTGTTTCCTTGATAAGGTCGAGGCAATTATTAATTATTAATTAATTTAAATGCTCTGAAATCGGAAACGAATTTCTTAACAGTGTCGGTTTTTGAAAAATGTACCCAACCGCACTCACACGTGTCTCACAGCGGACTGATGTCGCCGACGTGGTGAGTTTTGG